TCTCCAGGGTGGCCTTTGAGATCGTCCTGCCTCAGCCCCTGTGCCACCCCACTTGACTAATCCCGTTTTCTCCGTACTCAGTGAAGGCTAAGGGCAAGGATCTGGGGTCGGGTGCCTCTAGGTCTCCCCACCTTTTTACTCTTTGATCTGAGGACAGTTTCTAAACCTCTAAACTGCAGCTTCCTGTTTGGCCAAGAGAGACAATAACCTCCCCGGGTGCCTGGCCAGACTCCCTCCAGCAGTTTTGGGCCGAGGTAACCTGCGCTGGCCGGAGTAGCTGTGTTAAGCAGCCCTCCCCTAGTGCCTGGCCTTTCACATGCTAATGCAGTGCTAGCCGGCCACTCCAGGCGGAAGGCTGCCCTCCCCCCAGCAGCACCAGCACCGCCCCCGGGTCTTTCCTGCCCGGGTCTCCCAGAGCCCCAGCCGCCCTTCTCACCTGGCCTCCGGCTTCCTGACACCTGGTGGGGCCAAGGGAGGGCGGACCGCCCGGCCCACTCGCCCACCCCCTGCCTCACTCGGGGCTCCTCTGCTCCTTAGCTCACAGACCCCCACACCAGGTCCTCGGGCATCCTTGGGAGACGGGTGTCACTAAATCCCAAGTTGTCAGCCTGGGCTTGGCCGCCTAGGTTTGACCCACCTCTACTGACAGGGTGTGCGGGACCGGCTGATGCAGCCAGGAGACAGGCTCGGTAGCGCAGGCTCCTCCCGGGCCAGGCAGCTCAGCATTCCTCGGGGCAGAAGTCTCCGGGCCACACGGATGTTTCCGGGTCAGCGGGTGACCGGGCCACGGCCATTGTCCTGGACTGCAGACTTTGGAAAGTCTTTCCTGCTGGGCTTTCCACTCACTTTGAGCTGGGGGGGTTGGGGTCCACTTTGGGGTTCAGGAGGCGGTTAGTGTTTAGATCCGGTCCCCAGCTGTGGACCCAGTGTGTGAAGATTTCTGGAGCGGGATGCAGACGCTGCACATCTCCAGCGGGGTTAAGAGTCAATTTGCGGGCCAGGGAGATGGCTCAGTGGAATAAGCGCTTCACTGGCAAGCACAAGGGTTTGAGTTCAATTCCCGGTTCTGCCAAAAAAAACCCAAAAAACAAACCAATTGACAAAATGTGAGATGTGATTTTTTTTTTTTTTTTGCGGAACAGGGCATTGAACTCAGCCCCTTGCACTTGCCAGGGAAGCACTTGTTCCACTGAGCCATCTCCCCAGCCCCGATTGTTCTTTTTCTTTTTCTTTTTTTCCTTTTTTGCAGAACCAGGGATTGAACTTAGGCCCTTGAGTTTGCCAGACAAGCGGTTACTCTACTGAGCCATCTCCCAGCCCCTAGGTGAGGTAATTTCTAAAGAATAAGTTATATTCAGCTTTCAGCTCTGGGGACTGGAACTCCAGGAGCACATCTGGTGGTAGCTCAGCATCTGGGAACAACCCTGTGGCCACACCCCCTACTAACACTATTAACATATTAATTTGGGGATCTGGGTGCCAATGCAGAAGCTTTGGGGGATACATTCAAGCCAAGCCATCTTCTTTTCCTTTTTTTTTTTTTTTTTTTTTTTTTTTGGTGGAACTGGGGATTGAACTCAGTCCCTTGCACTTGCCAGAGAAGTGCTTATTCCACTGAGCCATCTCCCCGGCCCCTTCCTTTTGTTTTGAGACAGGGTCTCAGGTGTAGTGGAAGCCAGGCCAGACTGGAACTGATTATGTAGCCCAACTGCTCTTGAACTCTCAGGGATCCTTCTGCCTCAGCCTCTTGAGTAGGAATGCTGGGATCACAGGAGTGAGCCACAATACCCAGCTCAAACCAAGCAACCTGCTTTCTTTTTTTAAAATTTTATTTATTTATG